AAATAAAGTTTAAAAATGTTTCAGAAGAAATATTTACAACTGATTATACAGTATTATATAAGAAATCATTATTGTACAGGACGACAATAATTCAATTTTGCTTCAATCAAAGCGTATAAAAAGTTCTCTCATACAGTGTAGCAAATATGAACAACCGAAGCTTTAATGTTCTATTTTTCTGTCATTGAAATAGTTAATTACAAATTTGCAACATTTTTTTCTGATGTCAAACATGCAGCTCATATTGCTTTAAGCATGCTGTAACCAATTAATATTTTGCATTATGATTGGTTGTGGCCTGTACATCTGTACATTTCAAATAAAGTTTCGGAATTTTAATTTTCACCCTTGATATCAAATGGCGTTTTTAAAATAAATCTTTTATTTACCAGAACTAATCATATTTTGGAGGATCATTGATGGTGTCCTGTAGATGTGCATGAAGGTTGAAATGTTCAATTTCACCCTGGTCTCGAAGTAGGAAGTCGAAAGAGAAAGTTTTTAAACAAAAAGCCCCTTGTTCCTAGAACCCCCCTACATTTTACGAGTACACAGTAGCGAGCCTAATCACTTTTTGAGAGATGGTTGATAGAGTCCTGTAGATGTGCAGTAAGGTTATGGAATTTTCATTTAACTCAGGGATCAAACTGGGGTTTGAAAATAACATAAAGACTGGTTCCCAGAAATCCCAGTAATTTCAAGTAAATTATCAGATATCACAAGAATCTTACAGTTAATTATTGGACTCATCAGCTTAGAGATAGCGAAGTTTGACTGTATCTATTTTAGTGACCATCACGGATGGTAACACTACTCAAGAATATCAAAAAGATAAACAAAACGAGAAGAAACAGTAATATCCCCGCTCTAATGTGAATATATACCCACATGCAGAAAAATAAGTACGGACAGACTCAAAGCTAAACGGAAAGTTGACATCAAACTCGTACAAAAATAAAAGTTTCATTAATTTGTCTTGAGTAGTTGCTGAGAAAACTGCGACATATATTTGGTATGGACAGACACACGGTTAAACAGGAAGTTGACATAAGATTTGTAATAATATAGATCTCACCATATGACATGCCTGTACAAAGAGTTTGCTGAAATTTCAGGCATCTTTGTTGACTAGTTGCTTGGAAAACTTCGAGGGAAATATATTTGTAGATGCACGGATAAAAAGGGAGTTGATATCAAATACGAAACTGAATACCTCCATATGTCATGTGTTATACTAGTACTGTGCTAAAATATTAAGTATACACATGCTAAAATATTAAGTATACACAAAGAGAAGTTACTGGGACAGCGACAAAAATTGTTACGGCCAGAAACACAGCTAGGCACACAAGAAAAAAAAATCATCTTTCTTTCGGAGAGGTCACACGGCACTAAACGGAACAAACAATGTACATATATACTAAACGAAACCAACAATATACATATGTACTAAACGGAACCAACAATGTATATTTGTACAAAACAGAACCAACAATGTACGTATGTACTAAACGGAACAAACGATGTAACCCCTTGGGGTATAATATTTACGTATCTTTAGTATAATTTACATGTGCAATCTCTGTAAAAGTAGTATTTTGTAAGAACAATTTTAATTTCACATTAATGAAGATTCTCTGCTATAGTGCGTTCCAGTGGTCCCTGAAAAGAAAAAAAAAATTCAGTACACTCCTTGGTAAAACTTTAATTGCATTACTTCTCTGAAAATAATCTCCTTCACCCCTGGTATTAAACAGATGCCTCGGGGTCAGTGGTTCCTGTTGGATGGAGGTAGTACTACTACGTAGCAATTATTTCTTATTATTACTGATTAGTTGATATTCATTTTTTGTTCCCCTACACCGTCTATGGGTATTCAGCTAAGTATGCTAAGTATACGTATATTTTTGATGGGCAATGGTGCTTCTTTCAAAACTGTGAATATTATGACTTCTGGTTTAAAAGCACTAAAGCGAAATTCAATTCTTAGAAAGTTGTTACATGACGCTTATATAGGTAACCTAAGCGACCCATATATATGCCTCTTGCTTATATTAACTAAGCAGTTCTACAGAAGATTATCCTGTAAAAACTTTCTCACAAAGACAGCACCATTGATAGAGATTTTGATCAGTAAAACTTACTTCAGCCTTCAGGTATGGTATAATTACTTTAAGATGGCGGGACTGCGGTTGAGAGAGAGAGAGAGACAGAGACAGAGAGAGAGAGAGAGAGAGAGAGAGAGAGAGAGAGAGAGAGAGAGAGAGAGAGAGAGAGAGAGAGAGAGACTGGATACATGTAAGAAGCACTTAAAAGAAAAACCGACAAATATAGCAGATTTAAGAAGTGTTTTATATATCACCCTCACAAATCCTACATTGATTTTTGAAGTTTAGGGTGATAAGTCTGCTCCGATTATATCCAGTTTTCTGACACCGATTCTCTTTATAGTGAGGGAGTTACCAAATATTCACTACTTAACACAATTTCAAATGCGGGGGCGTCGGTTGATACCTTTCAAATAAATACTGAGTATGCTAAAGGCAAAAATAAATGGTGTTGCAGAACCAATTTAGATATTTTGTTAAAATTTTGGACTTTAAATATCTGTCAAGTGAAAACCTATCCTTCATAATGATAAAAATGATTTTAAAAAAATCAATTCTGCATTCATCATTACTTCTAAATGTCTTCCATGTCCTTAAAATGAAAATTGTGAAAATTATTCTGTTTAAATGAAGTCCTCAGTTTCTCTTCAATCCAATCAAAAATATCTCTTACACGTGACAACTAACCATCCCGACACTGTGGCATATAGAACAGAAGTAGTCAGGGATTCTGGTGCAAGAGAAAACAAGGCTTTGATGATTATATATTGAAAAAGCATGTTTCGATTGAAAATCTCCTCTCCTCCTGAGTATTAAACCAATGAACTATGTGCATAGTTATGTTGAAGAAGGATGCCTCTTTAAAAGTTGTGAATTCCAAGGCCCTTGTGTCAAGGGTCCTGGTATTAGGTCAGAACTGTAATTATTTTATAGTAGAAAGGCATAAATTGTTTGAAAATCTTCTTTTCTGCTTCTTGGTATCAAACCAATGACGTATGTAAAAAGCTATGATGAAGACAGATGCATCTTTAAAAAAAATGTGAATTCCAAGGCCCCTGGGTTAGGGGTTCTGCTGTATGGGCAGGGTCTAATGAAAATGTTTTCATCCGATCCTGAGCATAATCAAATAAACTATGCTCATAGTTATGATGCGGAAGGATGCCCCTTACAAAACTGTGAATTTCATGGTCTCATGGTCATGGTTTCTGGTGTTAGGACAGAACCAATGAACTATGAACATTATACAAATGAACTATGTACATACTTATGTTGAAGAAGGATGCCTCTTTAACAGTTGTGAATTCCAAGACCCCTGGCCCAGGGTCCTGGTATTAGGGCAGAACTGTAATTATTATATAGTGAGAATGCATAGATTGTTTGAAAATATTCTCCTCTTCCTCTGTATATTAAAACAATTAATGAATTTGAACATAGTGAAGAGGAGGAAGGGTGCCTCTTCCAAAATAATAAAAGTCAGATCAGGACTTCTTGTGTTAGGGTGGTGCTCTGCTAATTATATGATAAAAATGCATGGATTCTTTGAAAATCTTCTCTTCAGTTTCTGGGTATTAAACACATAAACTTTGTGAATAGTTATGATGAAAAAGGATGCCTCTTTATGAAATTGTGAATTTCATGGCCCCTGGGCCACGGGTTCTTGTATTAGACTGGGCCTGTAATGATAATATAGTTTAATTGCATGAATTGTTTGGAAATTTCTCCTCTACTCCTTTGTATAATGCTGATAATCTAAGTATATTGAATAATTAACAAGGAACCTTTTTCCAGAATTGTGAATTTCAAGGCCCCTGGGCCAGGGGTACTGGGGTGACTTTAAATGATCAAATACTGAAAATGAATTAGTGCTCTGAAATCTGATCCCTGGTATGAACCAAACATTCGTGATGAATAAGGCTGCTTTTTCGAAAATTGTGAAATTTGTGGCCCAGGGTCAGCGGTTCTTGTGGGGTGAGAGCACTACAGGTTATTGCTCATATTACTGATTAGGGGAAACGCATTTTTTTTGTTCTGCTACTCTGCCTATGGGTATTAAGTAGTCAATTTAAGGCATGCTATATGTATATTTTTCAACTTCCCTTACTTATTCAGCAATACACATTCATCACCTGCATACTGAGTTTATATCTCTCATTATTGAAAAATTGATGAAGCAAAAAGTTCAGCAGTCTCGTTTAAAGTCATCATTCCGTAAGTTCTATGGTCGATACAATGACCTTGTCAGCAAACACAATTTTTCATTGAGTCAAATGCTGACTGATGTTTCCATACTAATTGTTAGTCCATTTTTAACACATTGTATTGACGACGGATTTTTCCGTTATTTCCTGACCATGACAAGGAGTAGACGGTGGATGTGACCAGTCGGCAGAGGATGCTCACTACTCCATGGCACCTGATCCCACCTCTGATGTTTTTGAGGTCTGTGTTTGCTCTGCTCTAATTTTGTTTTGTTTTATGGACTTTTGAGCTTGAACACTGTTCATTTTCTCCAAATGTTTTATTTCGTGAGCAATTGTGCCTCTTCCAAAATTGTGAATTTATGGCCTCTGGTTTTAGACACGAGCCAAAGTCAATTGTTAGAAAGTTGTTACATGATACTCAGGGGACCTATTAGGCTCATAGGCTTCTTGTCTTGTTTTGGAGTGCAGCTTATTTGTCATATTTCTTGCTATACTCATTATTTTACTCATAATATAAACAATAAAATGTCTTTGTTTATTTGGTAATATGCGGGTTGTGTATTTTTTCTGCAACAGCTGTGACATTAATTCACGTACCAACAACCAAAGAAAGCATTTTATTTTTCAAATTTCTCTACAATAGCATTTCTCGCTTTTTTTTTTAACAAAACCACGGAAAATAAGTCATTTTATACACTTTTATTAGGTTTTAAAGTTTTACATTTAGAAGGCAAATAACGTATCAGTTAAGTGCAAAATTTATGTATGGTTTTCATACATATATCGTTCAGGAACTTCTAATGCAAGCTTTTTATTTCATCTCTGGAACTTTTCAATGTTGGTTTCTGAAAGAAATCCGAAAATAAACTTTAAAAATAATTTTATACTGTTTGGCTTAAAAGCTCTACCCTAGCATATGTAACTTGTACATCACTACCCGAGTATCGGTATGAGTAAATGGTTTCTGTATTTCTATCTTATGAAAACAAAACACAATCATTCGTTTTATTCCCAATGAATGTTACATACGAGGGGTGATAGAAAAGCAAACTGTTTAAATTACTTTCATAACAGCAATAAAATTGGGTTTTTGTGTGCATTATTATTTAAAGTAGCCCCCGGTATTAATGCATATCTGCCACCGTTCTTCTTTAAGCAAAATACGACGTCCTGGCGGTCAAGTGACGTGCTTTGTAACGGTATGTTCACAGCAGCAAAAAGTCTTATATTCATTACCATACAGGTAATCTTTATAACAAGAATAGTCCATTTGTAACAAATGACCAAATCTCGGAAAGGGGTGAGGATTTACCTTTTACTTTACAGCCATTTCTTGTATAGGTAAGACAAAGTCATCCATTTTTTTGTCACAAGTTATTACATGCTGATAATATTCTCACATCATGAGTTTTATTCATGACGTCATAAACATAGACCAAAACCTAACATATGCTATATTCAAAGCATGTTTATGGTAATTTGTGTGGCAAATTTCATTCTGATCTAAATTTGTGGTTTTGTAATTATAGAGAGTGATCGGGAACTTTCTGTTCACTTTTGTATATAGCCATCAATCTACCCTCTCTATAACATTTTCTTCCTTAGTAAATTTTACCATTTGTTTTTGTCATATATGTTAAATTATTAAACACTTAATATAAAACTGTACTTACAAATGTGATTTATAATTATATACAGAAAAAAAATCAAATTTCAACATAATGGTTTCGTTTAAATACGTACGTTTAATTTTGATGTTTCCTTTCAAAGCCCACAATAATAAAGGAATGTGTTGCTGATCGACGGTTCCCATTCCATTTCGTTTAAAAACCATTGGTCTAAAATTTTCCGTTTCTTCTCTATTCTGGCCCTTAAAATAAAACAAATAAATAACTTAAAGAATGTTGAAATAAAGAATTATAGAATTTTCCACCCAATGCTGCAGCCACGTTCATAAAACTACACGTACTAAACGAAGTATGGAATATGCAGAGAGTCTATCATTCCGAACCATTAAAGATATACACTGATGGAAATTCTAACTATAATAGTTTACTTTAATAAATAAGAAAATGGCAAGTTTCATTAGAAATTAAGTTCACTTATAAAAAATGAAATTTTTCTTACCCTAAAATTTCTTTTTGAAACTGCTATTCTGTTAATGTAGTTTGTGACGTCAAAGAGCCATGCTTCACTCGTACATAAGATAATGCAGGTCAGTAGTGCAAGGAATAGGGTGGTGTTTTCCTTCTTCATATCAATGAAAGCTGTAATATCAAAATGATTTAGTAAAAAGAGGTCATTACTCTAAATAAGGATTTTTATAAACGCTGGTACATATCCTTTTCAGGAAATTTACCCCCCCCCCCCCCAAAAAAAAAAAAGAATGAAGAAAAAGAAAGTATGCAAATAAATCTTTCTAAAGTTTAAGACAGATAGTTAAAAAATTAATGAATTGATTTTTTTTAAATTTCCCAATTAGATAAACTTGATATAGAAATAAATTTTGAATTTTGCAAATTTTAACTCAAAATTACTCTTTAAAAATGTATAAAAGAAAAATATTTTTTCCGAGAAATAATCGTTTGTTATAACTTAGAATTAATCAACTAGAATCTAAGATCTTACCAAGAACCTGTGCGATGTATTTATTTCTGCGATGAAAGGGCTAGAACTACATTGTATTTATATCACTTACAATATGATTATGCATTGTCTGGTGTCAGAATTAAAACGTCAAAGGACTGCGAATGATGGAATTGCTCTACCGCCCACCTACAAGTCAATTTTCAAAAGTTAACATATTTACATGTTATGATTTTTCATATCTCATTTTTTCTGATTTCATTTCTAATATTTTTTTTTAATTCCCACCCACCATTAATTTTTTTTCCATTTCCTGAAATTTTCCAGGAAAACTCTCCAGCAATTTAAGGTACATTGATACTCTGATAAGAGAGATAACCCTTAATGACACAAATGTCTATTATCCCTTTATAAATTTGTCAAATTTAAGTGCCTTTTTTTGCCAAATTTTGCACGCAAGCCATGCTATAACTGTTTGTATTTTATTCAGCATATACATTTCCTTTGGAAAATCATAAAAGTTAAAGAAAAATTTCATATGAGTGAGCAGAGGGTTTATGAACCTTAATGTTTACTTAGTAGATGAAAATGAAATATCAAAAGATTTTATTTTAAACTTCATTTTGAAAATAGAATAAAAAAATATACATCGTACATGTATGTTTGTGCATGGTTCTTTTTTCACTATATTAAAGTAAACCATCCGTTGTAAATGATACATGTATACTGCTTTTCCCCCAAGCGCAACATGTGTATGTGATACCTCCGATCTTTGAAATATTCTCCAATCTATTGAGAATTTCTCAAAGACGATGATTCTATGTCTTCAATTGGTTTCTGTGTGCTTATAGTATTCTAACATTCTATAACATATCTGAAATCAAACTTAAACTGAACATTTGAAAAGGGGATAATCAAAACTTTAAGGTTCACGACATTTACACATGTCACAAGTGGAAAGTCCTTCGTTGAAAGCTAAGCAAAACTCATTACTTTATTCATGATCTATTTTTAATTTTTTTTTTATAACTTTAGTCTTCAATCCTGCTATCATTGCCTTAAAGTACTACAAGAAAAATATCGGAGATGAAAGACAACTCTAAAATCAGGAAAATGAAAATGGAAAACTTAAAAAAAAATTCTTGAAGTAAACCCCCCTCCCCCGGAAACAAAAAAAGTTGTTCTATGGTTGTCAAGACTTTTTATTGGACAAATTCATAACAAAACTTGTTATTTCACAGGGGGTTGGGGGCATATTTTTATAAACCAAAAAAAGAAAACCAACAATCCCTCCCTCCCCCCCCCCTCAAAAAAAAAATACGAATAATAAAAAAACCTATCAAAATGCTCATTTTTTCACCAGTTTCTAATGAGTTTACAACAAAAATATTGTTTTTCGTCAGTCACATATGTTTAATTTTATGTGAGTTAAACATTAAAAAAACTTAAGGTATGTCACTCGTGAAATTTGTTAAATCAAGGATTTATTGAGAAGTATATTTTGGATAAGTGCTCATATAGAGTGACTCAAAATTGCAGAGAAAATAGGGGGTCAGTGTTCATCTTACACTGATCTACGGTACAACGAAGTTGACCTTTTTGCACTTAAATTTTAACTCTTTGGTTAATTACTAAAACCTTTATTATATTTTATCAGATGTAACCATGGCAAAAAATGTGATCTTATTTTACGTAAAATATTTTGAATAATATTTATCATTGAAAAAATCTTGCAAATTAATGCGCGTAAATTATTGTTTGACCTTTTTGCAATAAAAATTAACATATTTGGGGTATTAAAAAAACTAAATAGGCAATAAAACATTTTCTTAAATCAAGCTTTTTGCGACTTTAGTGCTGATCAGTCACAAGTATCGAGTACTTTAAAATAATGAAAGAAAAAGTTGGGGTCAGTGATGTTAATTTTGAAATATTGGTCAAAATAAGTGATTTTCAGGCAAAAAATGGTGTAAATTTTATATTGATTTATTTGACATATCTTCATTTTTTGGCAAAGTTTGTTGAAGGAAGGTGTAAAACTTGTTCTAAAAATATAAATTAAGACCTATATTAAATATTCCTAGCAATATCTTCATGGAAAATATTCTCCGAGTAAAAGTATGTGAGGTTAAAGTTCCAAGATATTAAATTTAATATATGTGCAGATTTGCAGAATTATCTGCTAAATATCCTTCCACCAAAAAAAAAAAAAAGTCCCTCACAAATCTTGCTTCTTTGTAGCTTTTTGAGCAGTTTTTTCGATGAATGTTAAAACGTTAACATTGTTGAAATTAAACATGTCATAAAAATTGAATTTTGATAAATAGTTTTGAAGTAAGAGGTTCTGCGTGAACTTTTCCAAAAAGCTGACGAGTGATCTACCTTAAGAAACATTCGCCTAAATCCAGGAATATTTCAAATATATGCTTTAAAGCCCGATTTCAATGGTAAACAATCGTTTACCCCATTCTTTCAAAGAGTTGGAATTGAGAGTAATTAACTATTTAGCACTGTTATCATAATGATTATTCAATTTCCCTTAAAGTCTTCTTTGCAATCAAAAGAATGTTATGGCTAAATTGCCATGAGCATTGAATTAACGTATATTAAGGATGTGCATGAACCAAGTTCCATGACTTTAAGGGCAAGCCTTACCATGTGTACCTGTCCGTGTTAAAAACAAGGGATTTCTGAAGGATTGAACATGCTGCTTGTAAAAATTTTAGTTCTGAAAAGCCGATTAAGTTACTTGCATCTACAGGGAAAAAGGCAACATCACGTATTTTTATGTAGGTACCGAAGGAAAAGCCATACGTCCATAATCTCAAAAGCACAACCAAGAGGTTATTCCATGAAAACACAAAAAAACCTAGTGAATTTAACTAGTGTGCCTCGAAAAGCGTTGGTCGTGATTAGTAAACTTTCATTTTACTGGTTAAGATAGTGAGTTGTGGAGCGGGGGGCGTATAGATACTTAGAAACCTAGTGAAAGTTACTTATATCAATTCTAAATTTACTAATCTTATCTAGTAAATATACCAATATCTGGTAAACCTACTTTTAAGGTAGTGATTGTATGGACAGTAAATTTACTAGTTTTCTTCGTGACTTTAACTAGTTATTTTTTTTTTACAGTGAATGGCAAGTAGTTCGTACAATTTATCTGTTTCATTGACTTCAGATTTCTTAACATAGACACGTTTGTATAAAAAAATCATTTCTGTCATTTTTTTTCTATATTTCCCATTATTTTCACAGGCTATTTTAAGTAAGAAATTAATCTTGTTCCAATTTAGATTATTATAAAATTTGCCATCTGGATACTCTTAAAAATACTAATAAAAAGTAAGATAGATAGGATATTTATAATGTTCGATAACGGATTTAGAAAAAAATCGTCCTTCTTTTAAGTAATTTGATAAAAAAAAAATGATTATGTATGTCCACAAACGTTAAAACGTACAATTGGTAGCTAGATTTGCTCAATACATACACCATTAAATAAGTGGATCACAGTTATGTGAGTAAAATGTCATTTAATCAAAATGACGAAAAAAGACAAACAGATATACATTTAATAAATTGGCTGGGATATACAGCAAAACAATAATTACGTCTGATTAGATTACATAAGAAACAAGCAAATTCAAAGAATTGTTGCACTCTACTTTTGGTATCTTAGTGGATAGGGTGCGATTATTTATGGCATCCTGTGTCAAACACGTACGCACTATCACATGACATGTAAAAGTAATAACCAAAGTTACATTTTTTGAAAATAATTTGAAACATGTAGGTCAAGGAAAAGTGTAAAAATTCATACGCGGAAACATCTTGTCAAAGGCAATGCGCATATTAAATATGTAAGCCCAATCTTTATTATATCAAAAGTTATAAGGAAAGATAACATTTTTAAAAAATAAGTCAAGCATTAAGGTCAATATCATGGGGTCAAAATCATACCTATTTAGAAAGGTCTTGTCACTGGTTATACGTACGTTATATGAAAGCCCTTTTTCTTTTCATTCAAAAGTTATGACCAACGTTATAGTTTTTGAAAAGAAGGTCGAACTTCAAGGTCACGGGGTAAAAAAAATAATGTACTTAGAAAGACCTTGTCATAGATACAGTGTAATTGTGTTATATAACAACCCTACCCTTTTTCTTTCAAAAGTAATGGCTAATTTAAAGTAATGTTTAAATATTTGAAGTAGGTAAAAATTAAAGGTCAAAGTCACAAGTTGAAAAATCAAAGTATGTTTTAAAAGGTCTTGTCACAGGTAATGCACATGTAAAATATAAATGTCCTACCTCTTCTCATTCAAAAGTTATGACTAAGGTTAAGTTTTTATAACATACTGAGAGACTGACCGACGGTCACACAAATGAGATTTCATGCCCCCTCGTATTTGCCAAGGGGGGGGGGCAACAAAATGAATAATAATATACGAGGGTTGATCCAAAAGTAATGTCACAATTTCAATAAAAGTGATAAAAGTCGACGTAAAACAACAGATATACATAAGATGGGGGCTATATTTATTTCAAGTTAGACCTGAAGATTTCAATTCATTATAGTTCATACTTATAAAAAATATTGGATTTTACACATCGTGCGATTATGGTAGTTGTCGTCTCTAGATACAGTCATTTAATGGATACGTGCCGTCATACATTTAAACGTTTCTCCAATTGAAAAAAAAACATTTGATATTCCTGAACATCTTCACAAAT